AAAAATGCTAGGTATATTTGTGTGTTTTTTGTTTTTATATTTTCCGTAGGCTGTTTTATCGCGAACAAGTGATCTTGCATCAATAAATTCTTGTATACTTCTACAGTCTACTCTACCCTTCCGGAATCCACTTTGGGCTTCGTTTAGTTGCGGTTCTATTTGTTTGAGCCTCCTTTCTAGTAGTATTTCATAATATCTTTGAGATATACCTACCCCTGTAGCGTAGCTGAAACAGTAGGTGGTGTCTTCGCACGACTTCAGCCTATAAAACATCGTTCGACAATATTGGGCATTCTCGAAACATTCGAACCCTAAAGTCCCTTAATCTGAATCATCAGTTACAAAAATTTCATCTTCATCTGAATCCTCTTCCAAATTAATTATTAGTGGGGCTACATCTTGTCGGTGCCACCAATCTAAAATAATGTTGTTGGCTTGTTGGTCCACAGTGCGTTTCCACATATCAGGTGCAACTGCATCAATGGCTTGTTGCCACAAATCAAAACACTTTTTTCTGCCGTAACCTTTCTTACCAATATGTTAAAATGTTGTTTGCAAATTCCCCATATATTTTCGATGGGATTAAAAACGCAGTGGTAGGCAAGCAACCGTAGTACCGCATGTACATTTTCTAATGCCAGGTGTGTGTCTAAATTTTTAGTCTCGAAACTAAAAGTATTACTACCAATAAACCATGCTGCATGGAATTTAAGGCAACAAACCTTGCAACAATCCCCAGCAATTCCACTTTCAATGCATCACTTGGAAACTCAATATTTTGTGCTGTAACCATGCCGCACTTGTGCCTTGCCTTTTCTTGGATTATATTTTTGATAGCGGAAAAGCCAGATATACGTTGTTATGTATATCCGTGCGGAAACCAATATTCGCAATAACTTTTATGAGGGAACTTTTTGACCCATTAAATACGTCTTTCTCATTTACTTGCTAAACAGATTGAAGCGTAAGAAGAAGAAGAATTTAGTATAATATAATTTTTGCACAGTGGATATAAACGCCTATCTGCATTCGAACTTTTAATGTGCGTTTTAACTTACTGTGTTGGATAATGTCGCATGTAATTTCTGCTTGTGTGAAACCTTCAACATCGGTAACGGGTTTCTCACATGGCCTTGTTTTTTTAGGACTGTCTAGAAGTTTGTCCGATTTAGAAATTTGTGAAATAGAAGGTGCTGTTCTCAGGGTAATATTTTAATGCATCTACCACTTTCTATAAAAGGAAACTGCCTATATTATTCACACGAATTCTGTCATTTTTATCTAAAGTCATTAATAAGAAAACCATAGATACTGAACATAATTCCATGGTCGTGTGGATGGTGACTATGCGTGTCAATAAACAAACGAATTTGGTTTCAATCATAATCAGCCATGGAATTATTGCCATAAGAAATACATTGTAAACTTAATTCGAGGCAAACATGCAAGGCTGATGCCCAAATCAAATACCAAGTGTGTAGTATCATTGATTTTGTTATTGTCTATCGAGTAATGTACAAATCTTTTGAGGTTTTTGAAAATAACTGAGACATCACCGAAAAACTTAAAATTTCATTTTCATTTTTCCCTGCTTTAACGGTTGGAAATGGACACTTCCCGGTAGTGTACCTTCTATGGGTCCCTTTTTTTTGGGAAATCTGAATTTGTCACAAAAAAACTACAATACTGAATAGGTACATTAACATATTAGGTACAAGAAATTAATACAATTAAATACAATCACTTATTACATTACTCATTTACTCGTACGTTTAGGGCACTTCACTATTCTACTGCAGCGCTGAATTTTACAATTACCTAGTGGTACGCGCCCATAACTAAAATTTAGGTTTGCATTAAAAGCGCGACCATTGTTTATTCAGTTATGACCAAGGTTATGACTTATGAATGAATTGTTATAATAAACAATGGCGCGACCAGTATTTACATTGCGTCGCATTACTGTAACCTTTCAAATATACTGGTATAAATTATCATCTTCCGTTAGTCCTTATTCTACAGGTACACTTACCTACCTACATCTATGATCCTTATCGGTTTTACCATTAAATAGTGTTTATATTCAATAATATTACCGATACCGTTTTACGCAAAAAAATGTACCGTCGCGTCGACACGGTAGGCATCACCAAAAAACTAAGCTAATTGCTTGTGATCTTAATGTAGCATTGAACAAAAGGTGAAATTTTTGCGAACTTATTTTGAACCGGTGTTGTTCTTCGGGGTAGAAAATAGATTCCTATATAGATGGGTCGTAGATCTTATACACTGTGTCCGAGAAAAGGGTGTCTAGCATGGGGATCTCCGAAACCATAGAACATACGACGATGGTTAAATTAGTGAAAAGATGCATAATTAAACAGTTAGGTATTATCAGTTTTTAAAGAAAATCAGAAAATTCCGATTATTTCCGAAGATATGCCAGAAAAATTGAAATTTGCCGAATTCGTTTTTTTCTGATGTTAATTGAACAGATACAAAAAATTTAAAAAAAAACACTTGTACATTTCCACTTCTTGGGCTCTACAAGACACTGCGTTGAGATCCTGTATATACGTACATACCTACTATTAATCTAGCACGTGCCCACACTGCGTTAGCTTTTTGAAAATGTTTAGTTTTGGCTTGTTTATACGAAAATTAAAGAATATTTTTCAAGAGATAAACCTTTTCAGGTCAAATGTATTTATTATTCCTGTGCAATTAGATACTACGTGATATCTTACAGCAAGACCGAAAACTCGGAAAGACAGCATGCACTATACAGGCTGATTCAAATTCGAGGGCCACCATGGGGATCTCGGGAACTGTAAGAGATAGGTACCTAGGTAGTTTAAATTTGGCAAAGTTGCGGATTTTGATGGTTAACAAAATGCAGTTTTGAAACTGAAAAAATTGCGACTAGGTACTTTCGGAGATATCCGAAAAAAAACGACATGTTGCAAAATCGTCTTCATTTTTACTGAAGTTATTTAATCAATTTTTTCAAAAAAATAACCAATTATTATGACCACTTTTTCCCTCTACAAGATGTTAGTTTTAAATTTTAAATCCTACGTTTCATCTCCGGTTAACCATCATCAACTATGTTTTTTCTTATGGAAGTTATTTTTACTTTTTGTGTCATTTGATAGAGATTTTTTTGCTTTCAAAAATGTAAACATCACTGTCTTTCAACAAGAAATAGCGCAATTCCTTCGAAAAAACGCAACAAAATACTTACGTACATTACCCAAGACAAAGTATTCTAGGCAAAAAAAGATATTTTAACATTATTTTTAAAAAATGTGCTGTTTACATTTTTTTACAACGTCATTTCTGACCGGAAGAAAAAAAATGTTATGACCTTTTTTTACTCGAGAGTTGATTTGAAATAAAATCGACTCATGCCATTACTAATGCAAAAATTTTTAACTTTTGCTCAATGCTTCATAAGTAATAAAAATGTGAAAATCGTTAGTTTGTTAGTGTGTGGGAAGATTCAACATTCAGAGAAGGGCGAGAACTGTATTCAAGATTGATCGAGTTCGAGAAACGTTCTACTTTCAGAAAATCGTAAATTTGACATTTTCATGTCTAAATCTAACATGAGTGATCCTTCTCTGAGAAGGTATTTTTGTAATGTACCTATATCACCTACTATGGATTGTGATGGATCATACATCTTCACATTAATTTAAAGACGTTCTGAAACCAGGTATTGTTCAAATAAATTAAATACTCTAACCACATACAACATGTTGTCTCTGTCTGTGCTATAACTATAACAAGAAAGTGAGGAATAGTGCCTTTTCATTTGGAACACACTGCATACATCCATAATTGAAAATAAAAAGATGCACTATTAATATTACAGTCGTTTGTTATTTGCATGATGCCAAGTGGAAGAAAACAATTCATTAAGTATAAGAATGATATTTTTGTGGTTTCTCCAGTAACGGAAATGAAACGATCAGAATTTAATGCTAGAAAAGAACATAAATACACATTACAGGTTTCAGTATCAATCCATACGCTATCATGGAATAATTAACAATGCCCATTGTTTTAAGTTAGGTAAATTATCTAAAATTGATTATAAAATTATGCGGTCAATCGGCATGCACCTACGCTGTCATTGTTTAAACAACGATGCTGTTTGAATTGAGCTAATACAAATAATGTTCAAACAGCGCGTTTCTGACATTTATTTCACGTTTATTTTTTTGGTGATTCAATTCCATCGATACCTCAAACATCGTGAAATACAGTGTGTCCCAGTACAGGTAGAACTCACCATAGAGAAACGGGCGAAGGATCCATGAGGCCTTTGAAATACTCCAATCTCTCTCTAGCATTAGGCAAGCGCAATAACTTATGTTGAACGCTAACTTGAAATACATATCAAAGGCCTCCTGCATGGATCCTTCGTGAAAAAAAAATTAATTCTGACCATCTGGGACACACGGTATGTGACGACTTTTTTGTCAGTAAATAGAGACGTGTCCTCTATATCAATTTTAGTGGACACATCAATTCACGTAAGAATTGAAATACTTACTTACATTTACATAGCTTCATAAGTTGAATTTTTTGTCTACCGAGTAACATAAAAATCCAATATGGCGTCCATAAGAAAGATGTAATTTGCTCGAAATCCACAAATCACACAACTTATATTTTAGCACCATGAGAAAGAAGAAAAAAATTACTACGGAGTGGTAAAATTACTCTTTGATATCTGGACGTCATCAGAGTATTCTCGTAAATGACATTTTTCGGTATTTTAGCCATAATTTCACTATTTGTAGAGCTACAAGAAATTTTGAATGGGAAAATTAATCAGCATAAAATTCTGCATGCATAACTGCCTGTTTAAGCGAGTTTGTGTCTCTGTTTACGAGATCCCCACACCATAGTGGGCCATAGTGAAAGTGAAAAAAAATCTGTATATTTTTAGGACCTTTTCTATAACATTTTACATTGTTAAGAAAATTTATTTTTTTTGCTCATGTTTACCTACTTTGTAGAGCTGGTTATTGTGTTAGGGGCGGAAGATAGGGTTATTGATTTAAAGCTAGTGCAACTATCGTGATTTTATATAACTGGCGTGATAATAGATAATGAAACAACAAATTTCAGCAAACGTAATATCTGATAGTTCTCTAGTTATACAATTATCCATACCTACTCACATCACGACAAAAATTATATGTAATTATAATTTATAAGTAAACACCCACCAGAATAAATTTACAAGAATCAGATGGATTTTTCCAATTACAATGAACTGTCAACTGTTTCATTACCTACATTAACATATATATGGTAATCTAGCACCTATATTTATGTTACAAGGTACAAAGGCGAACCTTCCACTTCCTGTTATTACTAACAACTACAATAATTAATGCAAATTTAAAGCTGGACTTTAACACAAATGTAAAAATATGACGTATTCATCATCGACCTGCAGACACCATTTATTAATTATCGATAATTATTTATTACTTACATAATCACGGATTCAAGGACGTTTAAGTAATCTGTGTCCATACTGTGCAGTTTCATTGTTTATCTCACAAACTGCGAACAGAAGGGGGGTTAAAGCCATTTCTTTCTTCTATTGATGTAAATTTAATCTGAAAGTATTCTTCACTGAAAAATCGCGGAATACAATTTAATTACACAAGTACACACACAATGAAAACAAGTATAAATTGTGCACAACTCTTGTGCAGATAAAGCTCATTTTTTTAACCGAAATAGCTTTTGTTTTGACATCACCAATGGATATATTTCTTGCAGACGTCTCAATCGCCCTTTGTGAATACCCTCTTCGGACAATCCGTTCTTGAGGTATAAGGCAATATGCCGGATCACGATAAGAGGTCGAGGAGGAAGGCTATGGTTGGTAGAAATTAATTCCTTTCGTTGAGACCTGTCATTAGAGTACTATGAAGGATGAAACTAGTTCCACCCCCCTCCCCCTCCTCCTTAAAAATAAGAAAAATATATTGTATCATGTACCTATTCCTGCTTAAAAATGTTCTATTAATATAACATTGATTGCTAGAGCTGAGATTATTGATAATAAAAATGTCAATATTCTTAATAATCCTATAAGTAAATAAATAAAACTGAGCGATATTTTTGTATATCACACTTTTTCAGTAATGACCCAAAGGAATAACGTTTTTGTCTTTACTCAAAAACTGTAGATTCAAAAAACTATTTGCTTATGCTCTTTTCTTCTATATTAACAAAGTCACACAGATAACGATGAAAGTTGATATCTTCCAAAAATAAAAAATGGAATTTACTTGAGCGCGTAAAACTGCAATTCCACCTCCATTTAACCGTCTATCTATCTTTTAGTATTCGAAACTATATTATAATATAATTTACCCTTTCATTCCGACCGGATTGAAGAGGCCACCGTACTGAATTGACGTTGCTTCAGCTTTCCTGATGTCAAGGGGCGTCTTTGTTGATAATAGCGTAAATTCTGTAGAACTACATGCACGGTTTGAAACGCGTAATGCCTGCTTAGAATATTTTATTTTGTGCCAATGTGTCATTTCGATTTTTGGTGGCACGGTTGTAAGTGAAGTTAATTTGGCGTCGCTCAAGTTCACTATGGAAATAGTGCCACAAGCCGATTACGATATCACGTATTTCGCAATACGAACGAAACCATAATTGCAATTAATTTCTTCGTTCTTCTTCGTCGGCCGTCCGAATTCAATTCAGAAACCTCGCACCGCCAACACAAAAGATTACATAGCCGTTCAGAAAAACCAAAAAGGACCCGTCATCAGATATAAAACCAATGATCGTGACCAAGGCGAAAATATCAAAAACGAAAAAGAAAAATCTACGAAAAATGCATACCATTTAACGAAGAAAAATATATTTCATCCCTTGGTATAAGATCAGTGTATGGTTTGTTTTTTGGTAGAAAGTCTGTGATAGACTGTTTTCCTAATTTTAAGATTGATCGCACAAAATTGAATTAAATTTCGAAATTAATTTTAATATAAACTATTAACTGAAAAAAGTATTAATTCATCAACATATCTACACCTAAATTCCACTAAGTTTGCATAAATCACTATCTTATATCATTGATTATTATACTATGTATTTAAACAACCCTTGTTATAACTTATAAGGGCAGTTCCTTATAGGAGATTATACGAAATTATCCTAAACTAAACTTAGCTCTTTCTTGAGTTATAATGAAAATTGTTACTATCCCTTTGCTTATTACTAACAACAAATTTCTGGGTCGTCCAAATGATTGAAACGGACAGTTCATACAGTTCAAACACGATCACTCAACAATTTGTTGATTAGACGGTAATTGTCAATGTCGTATAAAAAATATTCGCGGCACAGTCAACTGCTTCAGACGCGCCGAGAATTACATCCTGAAAGATTAAACTTTATTTAACGTTACACGATTTTAGTTCTTCCCCTATTGTTCGTAAATATACCACGTATATCCCACGACTCACTGGCACCCCAAGTTTTCAAAAGTAAAATCGAATTGATTAAAATTTGTCAAAGGGCTCCCGTTACAGCAAGGAGGTAGTCGTCAGAAACCCCTGTCCATCTAGTTCTGGCTGGAGAAAGTTTGTCGCAAGTATCAAGACCAACGTTTTTATTTAATAATCATCGTTGTGTGAACCGTATACATATTTCTTACATCAAACAAAACGTCTCCTTACATTTTTACGCACCACAAGTCCAGGAAACTTTCAGATTTTTCCGGTTGTATCATTGAATTCTGCTCTAAAAGTCTACAGTCTAACTAAACCACAAAATAACTCAACCGGCGCGTGAATACTGTAATGCGAAACCGCAATCTTAAAAAAAAGTATTAGGTGTATGTCACGGACCTATTTAAATTTATAAAATTCACAATGTATAGATCTATCGCAACTTTTACATTTTGATGATTCTTATTTTAAAAGTCCAGGCGACTGAATCGCAATAGTCAAAATATAAAATTTTAAGGTAGACAATTCAACTCATGTATAAAAAATCGCATAAGCCGCAGTGCAATTGTCACTTTGACAGCGGCAAAAGTTACCTGCAACTTTTACAGCGACAAATGCACTAGTGGTTTTTTCACTTATTCATTTTGGAACAATTATCGCATTATCCTTTCCCATATGATTAGCTTGACGTCTGTCAATAATTGACTAGTTTGGTGAATTTCTTGTTCGTTAAATTGTCCTGCCGAATTACACTCGAGGTTTGTATTTAAACCGAGTAAATTTGGGTTGCTGCAATTCAAATCTGTTTCCTTTTAGCAATTGAACTCGAAAAACTGTCAACCCAAAAATGCTCCACCTTCGGTGTCGCATTTTTATTAGTTGACAGTTTTTCTCGTCTAATTGCTAGGCAACAGATTTTCATTACCTTAACAACCCAAATTTATTCGGTAAAATACAAACCTCTTGTGCAATTATAAGTGATAATTAGATATAGGTTATAAGAAATGAACGGATTTCGAACAACATTTTAAAATATATCAGAATATTTCAAATTTGAAGCTACGCATCCAGGCGAATGAAGGTAGCGCATTTTGTTTGATATTTGCAAACATTGACAAAATACAGCATCGAATGCAACAATCTCATTGAGATATCCACAAAATAAATATAGTAATATTTGAATAAGCAAATCGGACAAATACAAACTAATAGGGCAACTTTCCTTTAAAAAAATGTCCTAAATGATACGAAGAATCGCATACGATTTTCAGTAGGGGAATTTTTTGCTACTCAGCTCGCACTTGGAACCTAGCCTTTTAATCCAGATCATATTCAATATCCTTGAACTCTTAGAAATCGATTGGTGAAAGTTTTACATCGCTATCTCTTTTCGTTCTCGATTTAGGCGAGGAACAGACGGACAAAACCATCACATAAAGGAAATTATTTTCTTTCGAAAAATTACCCTAAAAATCGTCAAGTTATATGTAAATGTCGATGCTGACATTGCATTACAAAAATGTTCTGGTTTTACAAAGACAAAGTTGGGTTTAGGTAAAAATGTGCACCTTGGATGGCACCGCACGCTTTTACTACGAAGGATTAGTTTGTTAGAATAAGTGCATTCCTTCCAGAAACTGATGTCATGTCTGATAATCACTTAAGTTTTAACAAAACAATGCATCTATTTACACGAATTGGGTGAATCACCACTCAAACAAATAACATCAAACTCCTACTTAAAGGGGTTATATTCTAAAATGCAAATCTCAACTTAGTTTTCTTGGAAAATTATCAAACCTCTTTTATGTGCCTTTATGCAGTCTGTTTCAAATGAAGTCGGAACTATTGCTCACTTTCTTAGTTGTGGAGTTAGAAATACGGTTAAATTACCAAAATTGACTACTAAATCCAAATTTGTAATTAAAAAAACAAAAGAAAATCGTATTTTCTAGATAATAACAAAAATGCGATTTTTTATACGGAACATCATGTATATTATTACAACATATTATGCCATCTTATTAAATTCTATACAAAAGTTCTTAATGCACCATAACCAAAATACTTAAAATAATCAAGATTTTTCGATCTAGTTATCCATGTAACATGATAAAATGACGTTGTTTGTTGTACAGTCTCTAACAGCTAACTTTGAAGTTTATTACATTCAGGTTTCCTTCTTACAAAATATAACTTTTACGCACCCTGAGAAATGAAGAAAATGGAAATGTTTTTGAACACCTTCCTTAACAGGAGTATCAATTGTAACTTATGCTATTTTTATATTACTTATTTCACCTGTTATTCTTGTAAAAAGTCCTATTTCCATGTTATCGTTTTAAATACCTACTATATTATGTATTTTTATCACTTTCATGGGTAACGAGATCGAACAGAAAATAATTGAAAAATCTTGATCATTTAAAGTATTTCGGCCATGGTGCATTAAGGACATTTGTAGAGAATGTAATAAGCTGCCATATGGTATAATAATATATAATATATAGTGTGTTCCATCTAAAAAGTCGCATTTTGTTTTTTTATTGACAGATTTGGATCAGTAGAAAAAATACAGATGCTTCTATAGTAAAGATAACCAAATCGCATACTGTAAAAATCAGATATGCGCATGCATAAACTGCGCAACGTCATCTTTCTTATTTCTGGAGATATTTTTTTGATTTTGAAACTTAAACAAACGATTCTTCTAGTAGTAGAGTAGAGTTTCTTATTTATAAGTTATAACAATATTTATGCCTCAACTTATTTTCCTTTGTACACATAAACAGTCCGTTACATTACCTTTCAAGGAGTGCGGATCAATTCATGGAAAATGCGCTACAAAGCGAAAACCTTTTTCTCTTTTTTTATACATTAAATTTCTTGTAAAAAATTGTGAATTTTTTTAATTTCAATTTTCTTTATATTGACTTAAGTATCAAATTACTCCGCCACTATATTTAAATCATTACATTAATATGTTACCAACTTTACACATTTTGTGTTTTGCGGGAAATTCAATAACTGTCCTCAGTTATGGATCACCCGGTATTCCATTCCATTCTCGTAATTATTGCCTTTCCGTTAGCGCTGATTCGACCGTTATATACTTATTCAGCTTTTTATGGGTTATG